CACACTCTTCCCTGCCTAGACATCCCTGATCATTCAGCCTCTCTTTCCATCTGCCCACTCATAGGTCAATGTTTGCCATCACCCAGTCAGTAGTGTTTTGCCCTCAGGTAAAGGACTTAAGATTCTGAAAACAGAATAACAGCACAAGGAGTTCCAGTGTAGAGTTCTGCAGACCAGGGCCTAAGGAACAGTCAATGTGGTTGGTACTTATTCATCAGTCATATATTGAGCACTTAGATGTCAGGTACTGAGTTGGACATGGGTTCTCCCCCCCTCCTGAGGCTGATCTCAGAGCCTAGAATATCGGCTAAACAACATCTGAAAGCACCCTTTCTTGTTCCTACATGTTAGCACAAACAGCTGTTTCGAAGTCCCCTCATGTCTAGTATAAGAGTTATACTCTGCTTGCTTTTACTCTGCCTTCATCTCCCCTGATATTTTCACTGATATGAAAACGGAAGCTTGGCCAAAGGGTGCTCTATTTAACAAGTTTATCACAAAATATGTTGTTATTTGGCTAAACACAGCATATATTATATCCTTTCTTCCCACCACAGACATACACAGTAAATAAGACAGTTGTGTCTGTGATGTGCTGGCAACATGGGGGCCAGAGAAGAGTGTTTATGTGTTTGTTGTGATTTTTGCTTGCTTCCCACCCTACTTTGCTGTGGGAAGATACCCTCTTATATTCTTTAGAAGGGACAAGAAAGACCAAGTTCTCACAGACCTAGATCTGTCTGAGAGGGATGCTGATGTGATGTGCAGCTGTGACCAGGCAGTGGACTTTATTCTAGCCAAAGGGACCCAAAAGCCACTTATTTGTTATTCTTCCAACTAGAAAACTTTCCCTGAACGTCTGCACCTTTCTCCCCTGGAGAGGAGCATGATGAAGATAGGAAAGGAAGACCAAAAGATTTTAATGATGGAAATCTCCCTTTATGTTTCCAGCCAGGGTGAGGCCAGAGCCTGGGCAGGTAGACACTCCATCAGCTGTGCTCTCTCATCGCCTGTGAAGTCAGACTGTAGTTCAGGTGAGACAACA